CAACAAAGGGCCTCTGTGTTTCAAGCCACTCTGTGTTCCAGAGAAAAAGCAGAAGACCCTGTTTATTAAATTGAAATATATTCATCTACATTAGTAGACTTTGAATTGATTTTGAAATATACGTCTGTGATAAGCCAGCCTTCATTCCTTCCCTGGACAGAACACATTTGTGAAAGAAGTACAGACTCACACATCTGGAGGGACTGAACTCTACATATTTAATAGTTGAGTCTTGCCTTCGCCTGCCCCTAATGGGTCATCTATATTTTATAGGACAACTAAATATGCATTAAGCCTTTCCTTACTATACACAATATGGTATATATTTCTTCTCCAATATTTCATTTATAACTCTTATTGTTAATGGAATTAGGAATATTCTAATCTAGTTGTGATACCAGCATTTCTCAACCTTGGCAATTTTCAGATGTGTGAATTCCAATTCCTAGAACTCCCCAGCCAATTCCCTTGCTAGCTGGGAAATTCTGGGAGTTGGAATCCACACATCTGAAAGCTGCCGAAGTTGAGAAGCACAGTTTTATACAGTTCTTACTGTAGAACCACCATGCAACATTTTTCGTTATCCCTTTCACTCTTCACCCAGATGGGGCAAACATATTTGTAGCTGGGAAGTATAGGGTTTCCTCTTCAACAAAATACCTGCTTCATCAGACTTGTTCTAGGCCAGACAGGAAAAGCTAATTTCTAATTTCTACACAAGTCTGCAGGTGGGAAGCTTTGCAACCCTTTTATTTTAAAACCTGTGCTCCTGATTTATTTTTTTTAAAGAAAAGGATGCTGAAATGAGCCACATAATCATTCAGTTTTTTACGTGCTGCACAATACTAAAGGCTTGTGTTCTAATTATAAATGCAAATGATAAAAAGCTGTTGATTTTTCAAACTCCACCTCCTTCTTTTACTGTTATCCTATCTTCTAATGTAGGATGCTGTGTGACATTGTAAAGTTAATAAATTCAAATATATTTATATGTGAAGTGAGTTGCAGCTTGCAAGTGCTTGTGCCTTTTAATACTGTTTGTTAAGAAAGGTACTGACAGGCTTGAAATTTTTTTGCCATTATGAATTCACACGGCTCTCTTCTAGATTATAAACACACGTGATATTGGATTGTATATATATATATATATATATATATATATATATATATACACACTACAGCAATTGTGTGTCAAGAAAATGCCTACCTCAAAGAGGCCTCAGTGCTAGTTCTGTTTAAGGCAATAAAGGAATCATCTTGAAAGTCATGAAACATCTCAGGTTATGTTTAGTCAGCTTGAATTTCTTCCCTGAGAGCATTGATTTCTGAGGGAGTATTATTTGTATGGGTGGGGTAGTGGCAATTGTGGGGTATGTTCCAAAAAGTTAAGTTGGCGTCCATAACCATATGATCAAAACTCTACTCCTTTTTTCATGTGCATTGGAAGCATGGTGAGTAAAAAACAGGCAGGGCATCAGGTAGAAAGGCAAGAATTTATAGTAGTTTCATAAATGGGCAAGATCAAGTTCTCCTTTTTGTCAGCTTTCTGGTTAAGAGCAGTTTGGGTGTGCATGTCTGTCCAAAGGGGAAAAGAAGGAACAGGGCTTCTCCACCTCTGCATTTTTACATGCTCTGGGTCATGCTACCATACAGGTACTCTTGAATTTACAACCGTTATTAAGTTCAAAGTTATGGCAGACCCTGAAAATGAACTTGGGGACTCGTTTTCAAAATACCGACATCTCCCCCCCCGCACAAAGTCACATGACCCCATTTTTGGCATTTGGCAACCAGCCCACATTTACGGCCATTTGCAGCACCTTGCTGTCACGTGACAATGATTTACAATGTTTTTGCTGGAAACTCATCTTTATTTCCAGTTTTTGACCACCCCATAGTGAATGGTTGTTTGATTTAATGATTGCTTTACGTCTGTTGGGTTTGCTTAATGAACACTTCAAAAAAGATTGTAAAATTGGGGGCAGTCACATGGTGACCCCCCCTTTACGATTGTTGAGACTTACGACTGAGACTGTGGGCTTAATTACGGTTGCAAATTGAGGACTACCTGTAAACACTCTTGAATTCCTTCATTAGAAACTTTCCTGGAAATTAGAGAACGCTTATGAAATTCTTTTTTCACACTATTAAAAAAAGAGCGCAGCAGGTTTTTCATGGTTGTTTCTTAACATGTCAGCTTTCCTGCTAAAGTCTACCAAGATGTCTCCTCCAAAGTACCATCCAATAAAAGCGTGCCCAGTATCAAAGTCTGATCCAGATTCTGTGAATAAAGCTGTATTCAGGTGGAGTGGGGGGGAGAGGAAGACTGTTTCTCTTTAGCACTCAACCACAAGAAAGACAATAGATGGCTTTGGCATTAAGCTCCGTGTGCCTTTGATACAAATTAAAGCTGTTCTCAGCAAAGGTCAATTCCCTTTAAGTGTAACTTGGCAGGTACTTTGCAGGCATTTGATGCAACACCTACAAGGACTAAAGGACACAAAGTTAGAACTTGGATAATTAAGCCTTCAAGGAGTTTCTTCCTCTTCTCAGGTGGAAAAGCAACACCTGCCTTGTATCTCCAATAATTTCAAGCCCAGATAGATCTATATTTTATATTCCTTGCTACAACTTTACAAATCAAGATTGCCACAGGATGTAATAAAGAACCAGTTTAATAAAGTACATTATGCTGTTTTCCATGAATTGTGAAGAGAATCCATTTAGATAATAGCACTGCTTCAGGATTATTATAATTATATTAAGTAAGAAGACCAGGTTTTAAGATTTTGGTTCTTTAGTTATCATCACTCATAGGCAATGAATAAAGGGCACATCCCAATGAACTTGAGCTACTACATTCTATTATATATGTCTGTGAATGCTATTTAGGAAATAAAAATGCACTTTTCTCATCAAAACTGCACTCTGGGTTTATTTGGATCAAATACATTTAGTATTTCTCTGCAAGCATTCATTTTTTTCAATAGTGATTTTGAGATTGCTGGCCAAGTATTCTTAATAAAGCAGTTTCTAATTTCTCAAGTTTGTTCTTTATGATTCTTATTTTTTAACTAAATTTTTGATTGGGCAGGCCATCAAACAAGCACTATTTCCAACAGAGGAATGTCCTTGATAAGCATTCCAGAAATGCTCAGAGCTATGTTGGCATTCTTGAATAGTTTTTTGGGCTTTGTATTTTGGTTGGCATTTTGCTAACACTAGGGCTGAAGGATTTGTTTTGTTTTTTTGAAAAAACAACAGGAATAAAACCTGTTGAAAAAAAAAGTTGAAAAAAGGAGAACTTGGTACTGCCTATTTATGGAATTGTTATAAATTCTTGCCATGCCACCTGCAACCCTGCCCATTTTTATTTGCACTGTGTATCCAATGCACTTAAAAAAGGAGCAGAGTTTTGTTCACATGGTTGTCGACACCATCTTGACTTTTTGGGATATACAAACACAAATAATACTAGGAGCTCTAGATTTAAACTTCTGAAGGGTGGAACTTACTGTACATCTAAACAAGTAAACATAATTTTAAGTCAGGGAAAACTGAGATTCTGCACAGAAGCACCTTTAAGATAATGTAAATGTGATACCGTGATTTAGCTAGGAGAGGACAGGTGTGGAATTTAATATATACAGTAGGTGTGTAGGCCATCAACAATTATGTATTCAGGGCACAAGATAGTAGTCAAGGGCACTGACCAATTGGCAATCGGAGAACATATTATCAGCATTCTGTCAACCAATTTCAGCGAATTACACATACAGGATAGAAAAATAAACAGAGGTTCAAAGAGAACTGTTCTCATTTAGACATGATCAGAACCATGTTGGAACAGCTCTGGTGTGTATCCTTCAGGTAATGCAGGATCTTGCAGTGTGAGAAGGCGCCACTCAAGGGATTCCCAAATTTCATGTGAATGGCTCCCAAAGAGTAACAAACCATTATACATGCCCATTGATTTGTTTTGGGCTGACTGTGAATGTCCACAATTTTTCTCTCCCTCCTTTACTACACCTTGTCTTGTCTTTGATTCTGCTGTTGCTGTCACTGACATTAAAATGTAGCTGCTATAAGGCAAGATTGGTTCTTCGTGGATTGTAGACTCCTTTAGGGTGGCCAGTAATGCCAGTCCAGGAACAGTCATATTTTAAGCAGCCTTGGATAGCGAGATAGGCGACATATATATTTAGTAATAGATTTAAAAATGGGGGGGGGGAGGGGAGGGAAGAAAACTGTGGTGAGGTAAAGGAGTAAAAATGGAAGAGAGCTGTTTGTCTGCTTTAGAAAGCCAGTTGGGTTTGGTGGTTAAGGCACCAGGCTAGAAACCAGGAAACCAGTTCTAGCCCTGCCTGCTGAGTGATTTTGGGCCAGGCACTCTTTCTCAACCCATGTCAGGTTTGGCCAACAAGCCAGTCAGTCAATACATGTCACAACCATCAAATCAACACTCGGTTGACCTAAAAAAAAGAGAGGGGGGGAGGGAGTGAGGGAGTGAGGGGAAGACTTGCAGGAAAACACTAGGAAGAAAAAAAAAATAAGTTGGTTTGCTTTATCCAATGCAGTCAATCCTAATGATCAGTTGTTTTCTAAATCAGTTTTCTTTGTTTCAGACCAACTAGTACTATCAAGTTCTGTAATTGGAGAGCAGAATAGGTTTGGGAGATTCATATATGCAAAGAATTTGCTCTAATGCTGAGTTGTAAACATAAAGAGAAAGAAGTTCTATTTAGTGTATCCTATATTGAATAGAAAATTTGGAAACCCTTAGCTTTTCCTGAAGGTAAATGTAGGCCATAAGATGCTATATATTAAATGAGATTTTATAAAATATGTACTTATTTATTAAGCTGAAAATCCAGATAGGATAATCAAATGTTTACAATATAATACAATAACCATTTCCAAGATTTAATAAAAATGATTGTCAGTCATTGTGCTTCACAAAAGATTTCTTTTTAATGAATAAATAATTTGATGAAATAAAAAATATTTACAATATAAACAAAGCTTTGGATATAGTAATCTGATCCTCCTGTATTTTTTCCATTTTCTTAATGGATGTATATCAAATCACTTCTTCTGAAACAATACAAGTTGGACAGAAAATTGAAGTCAGCAAGATTAATATGATCTGTGGGCGTAGCTTTTAGTTCAATTCAAGCTACGGGTGCTTTGTTTATTAGGAGCAAATACAATACAAATATAACTAAAGTACAGTATCAAAATGTTAGGCAGCATTCTCCACAGAACAAAAATGTACACTAGGCTTTAACAATAACAAGGATCACTGGCAACAAAAAAAATAGTACAACAGAAAGGTACAAACATTGTCATTAAGACTAGAATTGTGCTCTTGGATTGATCAGATGACTAGGCAGGTATAGTAGGGCTCTTCAATGGGTTTGCATGATAGTGGTGTCCAGTCCCAGAGTGTGTTAGTGTGGGACTGTGACTCAAGCAACAGCCATACTGTGGGAAATGGGCAGTGCAAGCATTTTTGGAAAGACTCTCTTGGGCTCTTAAAAAGAGCCGATACAAAGCAATTAAAGTGTAACACTGAGACGTTCTCATCTCATACACACAGATATCATGAAGCAAAACGCTTGGACTGTGCTAGTGAAACATTTTGTCTCCCCCAACATTACTTGCAGTATCAGCCAGAATTCAAGTACTCCAAAGCCACTTCATAGCAGAATTTATATTGATCCTGGAGAGTCAAAACAAGAAAAGGAAGTAAGTTAGTTGTAGTAAGGAGTTAAAGAAAATCAAGTTGTATAATGAATTAATTACAAATATTTTATGAAAAAGTTTTCTGTGTAGATTTTTTTGTATCTATTAGACAGGGCCACTGTGACTCAGTCTGGAAATCACATGTGCATTGGTAATAAGATCATAGAGATATACAATGTAGTCTGCCATAAGTGGAAAACTTGGAAATCTAGATTAAAAAGATCCCTGCGTGCATTTTGCAAGAAATAAAATAACAAATAGTGATTATACAGCATAAACTAAATACTTCATTTCACTACCTAAGGAGATTTTTTTAGTAAATCGTCAAATAATGCCACTGGAATTTCTTCATGACTAAAGGACAAACACAACTTCTTATAGTAATGATGAACAAAATAGACCGTATCTTGACCTACTGAATTGTCATATAAGCAGATGCATACTTGCACACACATAAAACACCAATGGCCTTTCAGCCTTTCTACATTTCAAGTAGTTTCACCCAAGAAAATAATTGCTCCTGGCCCTTTGTTTCTGAACTCTTTTAATCTTTCTTCAAGATAGAAGAACCATAATTAAATGCAATACACTAAATGTCAAACTGAAATTCACAGTCTTGATAAATATTAGATTAAGCTATTTATAAAATATATAATTTGAAAATCTGACACTTCGTTTTACATAACTATTATTTCTGCCATACAAAGTCTGCTCTCTTTTTGGATTGCCCTGCCAGAAAAAGAAAATTAATAAAGGTGTTCTGTTTAAAGTTGTTACATTTGCACAAAAAGTCTAACACACACCTTGAACAAGACTCAAGAAGTAGCATAAAAATACTTTTATAAGTCAAGTGATTTCATTATCCCCTTTAGAAAACAACAGGCTTGCTTTTATGAACAGTACTCCACATAAATCACAAAAATATCACTATGCTTTATGAGAACAGAAATAATTTTCTACTTAGTGGTACAGTTTAAAGAGCTCCTACCAGAAGGTCCACCATATTCGGCTTATTATTCCTCAAAGTCTTCACAGCATGGAATACATCAACAGCCCTCTGGTGTTGTAGCATTTCACAAACAATACTGATTGCACAAAACGTCCCACTGCGGCCACCACCATTTCTATAAGATAAACAGCAAAATGACTTGATTATGTTTTAGATTTTGTTATTACAGTACTTAAAGATTTTTTTTCACCTTATTCTCCTAAAATAAGCTTATTTTATTTTATTATACAACCAATGAGTGTTCATGTTATCTAAATAGTCCATCCACAGACTGGATTTGCTGTACAACAGGCTAAACAGAATAAATATTTACTGTTTGTGACGAGTCTTGCTATTGCCTTTGGGATCCTAGAATTCTCATCTTCCCGGCTTTTAAGCTTATGCACAAAATTACTTTATCCACACTTGTTAGGCTAAGTTAAAAATTATATTAGGAATCGTGTTAACAATGCAACTTGAGTTGAACCAATGCATTGGTGATATATAGATATATAATATGTTTGATTTGTATTTTACCTGTCATTCAAGAGATCAAAGCAATATATGCAGTATTCCTACTTCTTATTTTTCTCTACCAAACAACCCTGTCAAGTGGTCTGAACTGAGAGAGATTGATCGACATAATGTCTTCAACTGTTCTTACATGGGTTGGGGTGGATTAGCATCTTCGTCTTTCTACTCTCAAAATACCTCATAACAATTAATGGTTAACTTTATATAACAGTTAACACTTCAGTTTTGGTCTACTGGACTATATAAAATTGACAACTGTGGCCTGTTCAAAAACCCATATTAAAATAAATCAGGGTTTATTTCAATCTTGAATGTTTGTGTTGATACTGAAATCTACAATATTTTATCCATTTGCTACTGAGGATTTTTGAGAGTTCCCAATTTTTATTACACTATTTATTAAATTATCAAATGTTATTAATCAGAAATAATTATTTCAGAAAAAATACCCTGTTTTCTAAACTAAGTGGAACTATTATGATTATTTGCTCAGACCTGACCAAGAGGACACCTGCCTTAGACATCTAGACTAGTGCAACACCCTCGTACATGAATCTATCTTATAGCTTTTAAAGAACATACATATGCTGTTATGAAAATGACAATGAGCTTTGAGATCAGGACCACATTATATCTTTCCTTTACCAATTGTGAATGGTATCAATTTATTTTTGTACATGCTTCAAATGACTGATGACCTTTAAAAGGTTATGATCTTTACACAATACCTTTAAACTTCATTCTCCCATACAAGATCTGATGGAAAAACATATTTCTATGATCAAACTGTGAGAGGGATAGAAGAAAGAGTCTAACTTACAACAATTTGCAACAAATGCCAAAAATAACAAAAAAGCTTCTTTCAATATATAAGGAACAAGAAGAAAGTCAATAAAATGATCAGATCAGTAATGGGAAAAGACAGCAAGAAGATGATGGACACAGAGAGAAAGGGAAACTTTTTAATTCCTTATTTGCATCTATTTTCACACAAGAGGAAAAAAATAACACAACCTATCAAAAGCAGCACTGTGGGAGACGGAATAGAAATGCAGATCAAAATAGATAAGGAATTGGTAAAAGAACGCCTATACATTTTAGACAAGTTCAAACCACTAGGACCAGATGATTTCTCTCCCAGGGTACTGAAAGAACTGACAGATGTGATCTTGGAATCACTAAACAAAATCTTTCAGAGCTCCTGGAACCCAGGAGAACTATCAGGATAAAAAAGAGCTGATGTGATTGCAAGCTTCAAAAAAGGGAAAAAAAGTGGATCCAGGAAACTATAGACCAATCAGCTTGGTATCAATACTTGGGAAAACCCTGGAAAAGATAATCAAGCAGTGGATTTCTGAGCACCTAGAAATGAACAAGGTGATCTCTTGAAGTCAGCATGGGTTTGTTAAAAACAGATCATTCCAGACAAACCTTATTGTCTTCTTTGATAAAGTGACTAAATTGGTGGATCAGGGAAGAGTTGTGGATGTAGTTTACTCTGACTTCAGTAAGGCATTTGACAAAGCTTACTTCTTGGCAACCATGTGGGATCGATAGTACCACTACCGGATGGAAACAGGGAAACAAAGAAAATTGATGGCCCTAGTGGTCCACTGAGTCTGTCCTTTGAGTTTTTTTGTTTTCTTTTAAATGTATTTACTTATTATTTTATTTTTTTTATTTTTGTTGGATGATAGTTACATGTTTATCCCAAGCATGTTTAAACTGATGACTGACCCACTACCTTCCCTGGAAGTTGGTTCCAACCTTTATATTTTATTTTATTTTATTATTTTATTCATTATTTTATTTTATTTTTATTTTATTTATTAAATTTAGCCTAAGCTTCCACTACTCTTACTGTGAAGTAATACTTTCTAAGATTACTTTTGAACTTCCCTCCCATCAGTTTGAGGTTATACCCCTGTATCCTTGACTTTTGCTGAATATTGAAAATACTGCCTTCTAGAACCTTATTCACACCCTTAATATATTTAAAGGGTCCAATCATGTTCTTTCCTCTCCCTTCTGTCCTCCAGCTGTACAATCCTTCCTGATATGTTTTGTTCCTTGGACCATTTTTGTTGCTCAATCTCATCAATAGTTTTTTTTTAAAGTGTGATCTCCAGAACTGGACACAGTATTTCAAATGGGGTCTGACTAAAAACCTTTATAGCAGGATTAGGACCTCCTTTTTCCTGCTGGTAATCCTTTAATGATGCATCCCAGAATTTTGTTTGCCTTCACAGCTGCCTGGTCACATTGTTTACTCATTTTGCAGTCATACACTTTCAGCACACCTAAATCCTTTTCTTCTATTGCTCTAACACCGTACCCCCCAATAGTGAACCCTGCCAGAGGATTCTTTTTTCCTAACTGCATGATCTTACATTTAGAAACACTGGACTGCCGTTTCCACATTTTTGGTCAATTTTCTAGCAATGCCAAATCATTTTCCATGTTACAAATACCCCCAGGAACATCAACTCTATTGTACAACAAGAAGTTCCCTCAGAGCTCTGTGATGAATACCATCCAGACCCATTGCTTTATTAAGCTTTAAAAGGACTAGCTCACCTGCACCTCTAAAAACCCTGGAAAAAACTGGCCTGGTTGATCCTCCAACCTGTTTTTGTTACTGGCTTCTACTTCTGAGAAAACTGAGCAGAAGCATTTGTTTAGATGGTTTGCTATAGCCAAGTATCCCTTAACATAAGAATTGTTTGCATTTTTTATTTTAGTGATTGCGCAGTTTTTTTCTCCTTCTGTTGCTGATGTACCTAAAAAAGGTTTTAGGTACATTAGCGACAGAAAGAGCAAAAATTGTGCAGATGGATTCTAAATTGCCTGACCGAGTGTATTCAGCATGTAGTCCTCAGTGGAACTATGTCTACATGGAGGACAGCATATAGTGGGATGCCTCAAGGTTCTGTCTTGAGCCCAGTGCTCATCAACATCTTCATAAGTTATCTAGATAAGAGATAGAAGGAGAACTTAACAAATCTGCAGACAACATCAAACTAAATGGAATTGCCAACACTTTGGAAGATAGATTCAACATTCAGAAGGATCTTGACAACTTGACCATTGGGCCCTATATATATATCCTCAGGTATAGATTCATATCTATGTTAAAACTGAACAGCACTCCCTCAACAGAGGGGCAGGGATACAACAGCAACCATCTCCTGTTTACAATGCAGTCCTTTCAACAGTCCCAAGACGGTTCCACACCCATCTACACTCTGATTCAGATGACTCTGAGGATACAGATAAAATCCCAAGTGGCCTTAACAACTGTCTGAGAGACACCAATGCTCACAGTGCTAATGACCAGATAACTGCAAAGAATATAAATCCTCCCATTCCCCACTAGCTGGTTAGAACTGAAAAAGCTTCTTGGATGAGAAGTGAAACATTTTCAAAGAAAAAACTCCTAATTGCCTTTTGGAGAAAGTGAATATTCAGTATATTAGGATCTTCAATGGCACATTCCTTATATATACTAATAACTTATACTATAGATTACGCGATTGGAGAAACTGTATTTATCCCAAGAATATCAGAACCCAGAACAGTTTATTGCAAAAATGTATTGAATGAATTTAGATGCATGATTAAATTCAGCATGCTTTATCTTTGGTTATTTTTAGTTTTCTAGAGACTCGCTCCCATTCTAGAAACCCTGTCATTTCCACAGCTATTCTAATCAGCATCTTTTAGACAGCACTTCATTGAAAATAATAAACCTTAATAATTACCAGAGTGCAGACTAGTTAGCTTGCAACTCTTTAAAGACAACATTCACAAATGGTTGATTTTCAAAGGAACTACAATATGGCACATCTGTCACATCCAGACATCATGAAAAGAATGCTCCCTGCTGCCAAAATACCGGATAATATTGTGCTATTCTTTCAGCATCTAATTAAACTAAAGTCATTTAAAAGGATTATGTTGGAAGTTTTTTCCCCTTCCTATTCTACCTCAAAGTGCCATGCACGTGTGCACACACACGAGAGGTGGTACAATCATTTAATATCATGAGTAATCAAGAGAGATAATATCAATTTGCATTTGAAAAAGACCTCCCAGATGTGCATCTCAAAGCATGAATGAGCTAAACCTCCCAAAATAAAATATTATAATTTTTATTCAACAGGTGAGAAAACTAGAAAACAGCGTGATAAAACTACTGGACTATGATCATCTGAAAAGTGGGGTAATTTAACAAAATCTAGGTAGTATCTAATCTTTAATTTTTTAAAAAAACCTTATATTTCAGTCAGAAAGGCTGTGATCTGATTGCATGTACATAAGTGTGAGAGAAAAGTGGAGAGACACAAAGAAAGTGAAGAAATACATAAATTAACATATGCTAAGCCATGTTTTGACCACCATTTACTGAATAATCCACAAATGGTTAGGTTCTCACAATGATTACCCTCAAAAATCAAATGGTGGGTTAACAAAATATGCCAAACAAAATGAGCATTTATTCTGATTTGTCTTAGATTAAGGTTAGGAAGAAATGAGGAAGGTATAAAAAAGAGCAGCTGAAATATTGGTGCAGTTTAGCTATAGTCTGGTTGTCATGGAAAATGGTTTTATAAGCGGTGGTCCAATCTACACAATATTTCAAACAAATAATTTCCCATTGTGTATCAATTTTTTTTGTACTCAGGCATTTTTTTTGTTAGGCTCAATTCCTGGTGACTGTGCAGGCAAACAAAAGTATTCTCTATCTTGACCTATCTTTAGCAACAACCATAATTCTTCTAAAGAAATTCTTTTAACCTCGACCCCATCTATCCCTCTTATTTATTGTTTTCTTCTTCATCTCTCAACTGGCCAAATGTAGTCATTTTTTTCCCTAATCCTTCGTCCACTTGTATCACATTCCCAAAGTAGATAAATTTCTTCTTGCCCAAAAAATTGTTTTAACTTCAACTGTTCTGAACTTTATTGTCACAGAAATGTTCTTATCCTGTGTAATCTTGTCTGTCACAGCCGTTCTCCTTAAAATTAATCTGTTTTACTTCTCTAGCATACTGTCCCCCTTTATTCTTAAGCCTAAGAAAATCAAATTATCTATCACTCATCTACAGTTAATCAGATGTAAGCTAAGCAACCTTGTTTGCATCTCTGTCAACTGTGCTGATGTCCATTTAGTGCTACCAAGTGACACTACAAGAACAAAACTGATTTTTTTCCAGCTGAAATTTCAATCTAATATTACCAGCTATGGAAAAAGCAACCTTCTATTACCATACAGAACACTGATTCTATGATGCCTTTATGCTTCAGGTTCTCCATTCTCCATTTATTTTTCACCAAGGATTACCAACCTATTGCTTGCCTGACCACTAGATGGTAGCAAAGAGTTAGAGCTTTTGGTTTATCTTGGCTGCCAGCTTTCTATGTTCCTTTAATCTCTTTTGTGTCTATTAGATCTCCTCCCTGATTACTTCTGAGTATTTCTAATTCCACTGTAGGTTTTTTATATTTTTCTGAGCACAGAGAACATTTCACTTTCTTTTTACTGTTTTTCTCTTTTTGCTGACATTCTCAAATAAGATATTTTTCTTTGTTCTAGTCCTAAAAGCCCCTATTCATGCTCTTCTCATCTTTGACATTTTTAGACTATTTTTATTTCAATTTTACAATGCCTCATTTCTTTGTACGGCTCATCAGATTCTCTAGTGCATAATTGATTGTCTGAATCTGTTCTTTACATTGATCTTGTATTCTTACTGCATACTGCCAATATCAAATCTTGTTAACCCAGTCAGTTTAATTCTCTCAGGTTTAGCCTATATATTTGACATCAATAAATCATGGTCTATTCCACCAGGCTCAATAGATTGCACTTCTCATTCTTCCATTTCCTGATATGTTGTCAGTTTGATTGCAGTGTTGTGCATCCAGTAATGTCCATATGTAGACTCTGTATTTATGTTGCTTGAAACAGATTTTGCAATAAATAAAGAATTCTCTTTGCAAAAGTTTATTATATTATTTTCTTTGCCATTGCACTATTGCAATCCAAATCTTCCTGAATTCCAATTATTTATTATTGGAATTCTATTCTTCTCTACATCTCTGGGATGATTTAATTGCGTTTCCTGTACTTTGCAGTTACCTGCAAAGTTATCTGCCAGCCAGTCCTTCTGAACCTCCTTCCCATGTAGTACAAATAGTATACAATATGATGCAGAAGAAGAAGATGGGATGAAGCAGTGGCAGAAATGGTATCTTCTTCCTTACAAAGGAGCACAGTGAAATCCACCATTTTGCAGCAAACAGGGTTAATAACATTACCTCCGGGAAACATAAAAGGAGCAGAAAGACCACAATCCTCTCTGATTTAGTTCTCAGTGTGGCAGTGCTCAGAGATATATTGTCTATATTGGACAATTATTGACAAACAGATTGTCTATGAGTTTGGTACATTGCTTTTGGGTTGTAAATTAGGAACTCTCCAATCTGAATATTGTTTTTGCAATAATTTCACTAGGTGACTTTGAGGCAAGATATCTGCTCTCAAACTCACCCCTATTCTATTCGGACAATCATAGCTCTGACTTTACAGAGTTGTAGAATTTGAATTATATTAAAATCTAATTCAAATTCTAAACATCAGCTTCATAAGAGTTGCTGTTGTTGATCACCTTAACAGTTTTATTCACTTACAAGCAATGGACAAGTGTACGGCCTTCTCCTCCATTGTATTCTTCCTGCCACTTGTCCACTTGACGTATGAGTTTCAAAAAAGACCGTTTAGATACTGGTGTGTCTCTGTACATAGGCCATCCAAGGAACTGAAATTGTTGCACCATTCGGTAGCCATCCTGGGGCTGTGGGGACCCAACCAACAGGTGAAAAAAAAAAAAGACAGCGTTATTTATTCTGAGTTCAAAGGGTGCACATTACACCCCTGCCCTGAACATTATTATAGAAGATTACTCCTTAAAATGTTCTAAAGAAATTTACATTTCAAAGTTATGACTTTGAATCTCAGATTTAAGATGATATTTTAAACAGCTGAAAATATAGATATGCCGAAGTGAAACAATGGTACAGCTGCAAGAGCCAAATATATGATTAATAATATAGCAATCACAAACTACCAAGCTGAAATTTGCGATATAATTTCAACAGTGTTGCTCTTTTAATATGCTTGTCATTGTCAAATTTCTGAAATGAACGTTCATTCTGATGATTGATTGTTAACATGCTAAATACAGACTAATTCGTTCAGAATAACCTCTCCCTTCTTTGGCATCTTTGGAAAACTGTACTTGTCTGTTGAAAATTTCTACTAATTTATAATAAAAGGAAAAAGAAAAAATGTTTTCCAATTTCTCAGCTCTATTGACAGATACTTGTGATTTGAAAAACGTCTTCATGGTTATTGATTTGTTCACTCTGTAACTAATGTTCAAAAATGTTCAAAATATAAATGTATGTATCCTCAATTTTGGCAAATAAATGAATAACCAGGTAAAAGGCCTCTCAAAGTTGTTCAGTGAGTATTCTTCATTCTTGTATGTTATTAAGCAGTTTAACACTAACCAGATATGGTCTAGATTTTATACATTCATCCAAATCCTGGCAACACTTTTGTTCCAGCTGAAGCTTCTAGGATGGTTCCAATTATAGAATATTACATAGACTACATTACAGATGGAATATTTTATGAGCACAGTGGATTTTTTTATATGGAATGCTTCCATCAAATAATAAACATTAAATTAAATTTGGACTCCCTAAAACGTGAATGCAAACTATATTTCTATCACTCATAAGAAAAATAAGCAAATAACTAAATAAGATCCTTACTCTTGATGCATTATAAATTCGGAATATCCGACTGATGATATCTTCTTCTAAATCAGCAGAAACGAACTCTACTTGAATAGGACCATGTCGATGAACACCATTTTCAGGCCAATATTGTGGACATAACTGTAGAAGAAAGAGATTAATTCATATGTAATTGTATTATTTAGGATGACTCCATATACTCAACTGTGATTTTTTTTATGTGCCCATATGAGCTCCAAAGATCACAGAAGGCTATGTCTACATGAAAGGATGTCATTTCTTTTTAACTGTCTGAAAAATAAGATTATTTCCAAAGACCAAAGGGTATAATGCTTGTATATAGGTTTATATATCAATGAAACTTTGCAGTCCTTCAAGAAAAGACCAATATTTTAAAGGCTTATTGTGTTTAATGTATTTTGCAAATTATACCTTTTCAGAAAGAAAAATTCAGAAACAATTCTCAGCCTCTAAGAATATAATCTACTTTACTACATAGGCTCCAGTGAAATTTGTAGTACACTTCTTGTATGTACAAATATGGAATACATACATTCATACATGCATTGCAGGAGAAAAGTTTTACAGAAGACACTTAGTGTTTATAATTTTACTTTTATTTACTTATTAACAAACATTTTTAATAAAAATGATTAGAAGATATTTAGAAAACAAAAATATAAATTGAATTTAACTATTAATAATTATAATTTAAGACTAAATGGAAAGAAGAACCATTATTTTCAAACCATTATTTTCAAACTGTTTCCAAATGTGTGATGGAAAGAAACTTTCAACTTCTTTCAAAAAGAGAACTGGGAAACACATGCAAAGAATTCTCTGTGGAAAATATTTTGCTTCTCTGGGGAATATCACAATAAATCCTTCCTATGCTGATTATCATGGGTATGAAACACATTTTTCATTTCTTAAGGCAACTTTTTTCTTTAATCTCAACACTACTGGATATCACCAAAACCTTCTCTTTATATAAATATCTCCTTTTTCACTTTGACAATTTGTTCCAACAGTATACTTGTAGTGTAGTAATCACAGGGGATCAAAGAGATACTCTGGACCATTTAAATAGCAGATAATATTATGTAGGCTGAGTCCTTCTTAATCCGTCCTGAATCTTCACTTTCCAATATTCCAGACATCAATTTACAAATAGGCTCAGTCAGACAGTTAAGGCCAAACAAAACAAAGCAAAACAAACCGAAAGAACCACTGAAGGATTGTATTTTGGATTTCATTTATATCCTGCCTCTCTATTCATTTGGACATGCAAGGCTAGCAATCAATATAATGAACGCTACAAAAATAAAAATGGAAAGAAGTATTTTTAAATCTTGCAAACAACAAATAACAATTAAAAACCCGGTAAAAAAATGCGTATTGCGGCTGATGCTCTAGCGGAAAAGAGAATGTGTGTTACCTACATTTCCTGAGGGAAGGCCTTCCTCACCCTGGGACTAACAGGAAAATGCCCTCAATTTCATGGTGGGGATATTTTCAGACTGTAATGCTTGAGGAAGTTTGCATCAGAAGATGTAGACCTTAGCCATTTTGGCCTTTAAATGTCAGTAACAATATCTTAAATGCTGTCTAAGAAGCAATTAACAAGCAGCACACATCCTCTGATACCAGCATAATGTAATTCCAGTATCTTATGTTGAATAGAAATGTAATTGGTGTATTTTGCACCCACTACAATTTCTTGACATTCTTCAAAGGCATTGTCATACGGAATGCATTGGAATAATCAAAATTGATTGGCTCTAGGTAGGAACAATCCTTTTCTTAATATGGAATATTTCTTGGCAAAATTTAGAAACCATGCACATGAAAAAAAAAACCTTATAGCTTCTTTCATGTGCATGGTCTGCTAATATCACAATAGAAAGGTCATATTGATATTTTAAAACATAATGCTAACTATGGTCTTCTATTTTCAAGCTAGTAATAGGAAGAAAATTGAAAAGCCATCAAATGTCGGAAAAGAACAGAGAAAGCTTTCAGCTGCATGAAGAGCATTTGTAAAAATGATACTTGAAAATTAAAGTATTTGGGTTTTAAACATTTTAACACGATGCAAACTTTCTGAGAAGAATTGTTGGCATAATTTTGTATACCTCAAACATGTCTCCACTTGTTTGCCTCCTTTCTAGATTAAAAATATCACAATCTTTTTTCATATGGGAACTCTTCTAGCCAAGTTGTCATCTTAGCTGTCCTCCTCTGAACCTTCTCCAGGTCTACTATATCCTTTTTGAGGTGCGATGATCAGAACTACACACAATATATTATGATACTGGCATCTCTAGTTTCAATTCCATTTCTTATTATCCCTACATGCAATTAGCCTTTTTTTTATAGTGGATGCAAACTATGTTGAAGACTTTATTGAATTTACCCTTACTCCAAGATCTCATTCTTTGTTGGTCACTGTTAGTTCTGATTCCATTAGTTGTATGAGTAGTTAAAATTTTTGGCTCCAATGTGCATCACTATATACTTGCCCACATTGGATCTCCCTTTTTGACATCTATTCCACTGAGAGAATCCTTTGGAGCTCTTGGCAGACTCATTATTTTTACCAGTTTGAACAATTTAGTGTCATCGGTACCATAGCTATTCCATTAGTCACACCTTATTCCAGATCAATTCTAAATATGTTAAAAAGTACTAGAAAGGAGTGTCACGTAGTGTTGAGGGTTTTATTCTAACCCTGTCCTGTTTCACTTAATTCATAAATGACTTGGCTGATGGATTAGAAAATGAGATTTTCACATTTTTGGATGACACAAAGCTAGGAGGACGACACAAAGCTAGGAGGATAGCAAACATTTTGTAGGACTATCAAAATTCAAGAGGACATTGACAATGGGTAGAGATCAGCAAGATGATATAACAAATGTAAAATCCTACATTTGAGTAGAAAAAAATCAAAAGCATGGGAATAGAATGGGAAGGGGACATATTGAACAAAACTACATGTGAAAAGAATCCAGTCTCATAGTTGTTCATAAGCTAAACATACACCAGTAGCATGATGCATTGGCAAAAAAAACAAAAACCATCCTTGGCTGTAGCAACAGAAGAGAGTGTCAAGAAAAAGTCACTGTTCTTCTCTAATACTGCACATTAAATAAGGTGTCCTGTTTTAGGCATCAAGTTTTTGAAATGATGTTGATAAACTGGAGCACATCCAGAGGAGAGTAATCAAGATGATAAGTGGCCAGGAAGGAAAAATTATGATGAAAGGTTGGAAGCACTGGGTATGTTTAAGGAAGACTACAGGGAGACCTGACAGCTGTTTTTAAAGGGCTGTCGTGTAGAAGACAGGAAAGAATAGTTCAGAGTTATTTCACAAGGCAAGATAAGACACAACAGGTTTAAATACAAAGAAGTAGATTTTCTATGGACTTCTTTTTTTCCTAATGGTAAGAATTGTTCAACAATGGTACAGACTACTTTGGGAGGGGTCAGCTGTTTTAAATCAAAGGCTATTTAACAGAGGCTTCATGGCAACCTGTTGGGAATGCAGTAGTAGTGGTTTCCTGCAGAAAGTTAGACAAGGTGATTTTTCAAACCCTACATTCTAGAAATCTATCTGGCCAACCCAAAAACGGTTTCAGTGTTGTGACCTGTATGGGATACCTTCCTTCACTTTATACACCAGAACTATTTTGCCCTGCCAAAGGCTGTAAACAGTTATGAGCAAGGAGGGTCTGAAGTAACCAATCACACGAGTAACTGTATAAGTTATATGGAAAAATAAAGGACAATCATTTCTTCAGTGGAAATATTCTCAAACAACAAAGTAATATCAGGTGAAAAAAAATTCTTTTAAAAGTGTGGATTTTCTTTTCCTGTCTCACCCTATGTACCCTAATCAACATTTTGGAACAGACATTAGAGTAGGAAACCTGGTGTAGTTGCCAACAGACAGCAGCCCTCCAAAGTTTTAAAAGGTAACCAAGGAAGGCCAATGGAAAGTTTAAACGTTTTCCTGCTTTTGTATATTCAAAACATGGCTGAGAAGTCAAATATACTTCTTAGTAGCAACTAAACAGCTTGATCCTACAAGCCTTTCCTTGTTCACTCTGAAAATAACTCACCAGCACACAAGTTATTTTGCCTTTCCTGCATTTCCCTGGAGACCAGTGAGTGTGGTTGAGCTACAAAAATATGCAAGCGAATCCCTGAAATTTATAATTACTTGCAGAAGGGGTGTTATTTATGAACTTTAAAAGAATAATAATAAAAATATTTCAAATGTTAAGAAAAGTAATTCTTTTATTTATCATAAATATAGTACATAGATACGTAGTACAGCAGATTCAGCTGCTAGTGTTCTTCTCTTTAACCAAAGTGTTTCATTAAGCAGTACAATAAATAGTCTTAAGCCAGAAATTTTAGAGAAACGGAGAAGTTTTAATTTAGTATGGGCATCCATTTTTCAACTCCATCAGTATTTTGTAAGAGTTTTATCTTTCAGTTTCCAGGAACTGACTGACTACTTTTGATGTAGACTTTGCTGCCACTTCAGCTGGAAAGAGACAGGAAGAACACAGCAAAGTATCATATGTAAGGCTAAAAGGAAGTGTGGTGTTTCAGGAAGTCATGCCAGCGCCATTTTAGTTCTAAGTGCAGATGTCTATTGAGCAGCACTGATGACAAGCCACCATCTGTGTCACACTTTGTCTGGAGACATAATTGTCTCTTTCCCAGTAGCATAAGCTAGTGCATTTTCTTAAACTGACATTCAGCATCCCCAGGAAAATGTTCCCATGAGGATATGCAATTAATGGCACTGCTCTTATTAAACAAAGGGGCTGACAGTCAGTGATGCTCTTTTTTTCTGAAAGAAAGAAGCAATTATAAAGAGCAGGAATTCAGCATCACAAAAATAGATCTTGCGTCTATGCAGCAGAGTAAATAATGGTTGATTTGAACTAGTAAACTGAGGATTCATATTCCCACTCAAGAATAAAATTTTATGGCTACTCTACTAAGTGCTAGTCTACAAAATGTTTCACGACTCCCAGTTCCTTTACTGTTGATAGTCAAATCTAAAAGGCAAAAGCCATCTATCACTTCATTGTCAGTTCTAAGTTTGGCTGCTGTAACTGTTGTGATTAGTTGAATCTTCTTTATATTTAATCTTAGTGCAAAGCTCTCACGTATTCCTTGATTTTCATTGTTAGAACTTGCAAATATTTGCACTTTCAGATATTAAGAATAGTATCTTCAGCAGGTGTAGATTATTGACGTTTTTTTCCCTTTTTAATACTATGTTCATCTTTCTCTCCAATCTAGCTTTCTTTAATTTATAATGTCTATATCTATATCTAAAATATCTTGTATATAATAAAGACTCATGACCTTCTTCTACCGGTCTACTATTGAAAGTGTTCTCACATATTGTATTGTGGTTTGGTATGCTGGCCTGACAGCCGTGGACAGGAAGGTATTGCAGAGGGTAATGAGCACGGCACAAGACATCGTGGGCTGTTCCCTGACTCCACTGGATGACATCGCCAGGGCCCGTTGCCTTGGCAGAGTGAGGAAAATCTCAGGGATGACTCACCCTGGTTGGTACCTTTTTACTCTCCTACCATTGGGTAGCAGATACAGAAACATAGCCAGCTGTACCAACAGGCTGAAGAACAGCTTTTATCCATGGGTCGTCAGGCTTCTGAATGGGACATAACTTTATAACTTTATGCATAACAGACTCGTGAGGCCGGTATGATGTGCAATTAGTTTACAGGGTGAAATATGTTGGGGGTTTGTAGTCACCGTGAGTTTGTGGTGAGGGGGGGCACAGAGGGAGGCTCAGCCAATTTCACTGTATATATGTTATACTTTGATAATAAAGGGTTTATTATTATTTTCCCTTGATTGTTCACAATTTAACTCAGGAATGACATATACATTATATATGTATGTGTATGTATATGTGTACGTACATACATACGTATGTATGTATGTTCTGGGATTGACTGAAGGCCTTTCTGTAATCAGTGAAGAACATATTGATAACTTTTTGGAGATTTCCAGGACTGTAAATTAGACTGAGAAGCTGGAAAAGAAGCAGTTGGAAGCATTTAATGGAAAGCTACTTCTATCCTATTATCAAGGAAACTTCATGGAAGAGAAGTCCCTTAAAGTCAAACTCAACTTAAAGGAGACAGTGCTAAAAGAGACATTACTTATGAAGCAAGTAATTTCACTAAATTCATGTATTTGACTTACTTGTGCTGGATCCACATCATTCAGCATCACTATTGATGTGCAATGGTAGTCTAGAACCAGTCTCCAGAAATCTTTGACAGTATTTGGTAAAGGATGCTGAGTGACTATAAAAGCTGAAGGCTGTTTATAACTCTGCAAAATAAGAAGGGTATTTTAATGGAGGATTAAAGCAGGATTAAGGCTACAATAAGAAAGTAAATATAAGAAAAATGAATACAAATAATATTTTCTTTAAAAATGATATTCTATATATTATGGAAACAGAAGAAAAAGCTCCTGCTGAACGGGCATGGAAGCACTTACAACTCTTCAGACTAGGAACAGAACTGCTTTTAAATCCCAGTCTTCCAACGGAATTTGGAGATAGTGAAGTTATATAGATATAGCCTTAAAGCTACACCAGACGTTCCTGTCCCGAGTGAAATGTGTACATTAGCAGAATGCCATCAAACACAAGGGATAAGGAATGGGAAGCAAGGCCTATTTTAGGAATATATGTTTAAAAGGGGATGGGTTAAAAAAGCCATCAAGATATGTCAACACATATAAAAAAGGGGCAGTGTTTTAATCATGCTGTTGTGTCTGTCATGTTACTTTGTGTAGCTGGAGGTGTATTATTTGACAACTTCTGGGAGAAGAGGAAACAGTCATGAAATAAGGCTGACATCTCTAGCCTGGTTCTCTCCAGATGTATCCAACAGCTGTGTTTCTTAAGGTCTACGTCTATAAGGCAGCAAGTTGAAGGATTCAGTAAAAGTGGCTACTGCAGACAAGGAGTTTGCTAACTGCAATACATATAATGTACAATATATGTTGGATATGTGTAGGCAATGTCAATCACTTGCATAATCACTAATGTGATACTCCCACCTTTTGAGCATACAACCTTTCCACATATCTTTATCATAAATAATATAAGTGCTAACTATGAAACTAGTAGTCATATCAGAAAAGATTGCTTTCATGGAAGATTATTGAAAATGTCTTTCTTCTTTTCTGAAGCCTGCATTTTGGCATGTGTGTATATATGTGTGACAGCCTTAATTACTGCTGCTCTAAAATGTCAGAGATACTCCACAAATCTCTAAAGAGTGTAAAACATATTTAAGTATCCTTTTATTTAAGTGATGTTAGTGTATTAAGACTTCCATATCTGCATTTAATGTGGATAGCGGTAAAAGTATCCTTAGCAAATGTTCATTCAGTTAGAAAAGAATCAATTGACTGAAGTAATGGCCTGTGTATTATCTATGCTTGCAGGCTTTTTTTCCTCCCCTATTCATTACTATGAAAATGAGAAAGAAAACTAAAATTTTCTCCCTATATTATTATGCCAACTAGCTACCTTAAAGTTTCATTGTATATGTGTGCATGATACTGTATGTATACAAAGACACACACACACACACACACACACACACACACACAAACTTTGAAATAAGCCCCAACAAAAATGTATATAGTTGTAGCCTTAGTTGTATAACAAGTTACTCTTGACAGTTCATATGCATACATTAGATATGAGGCATACTGATTAAGTTCACATATTGCCTCAATCTGTTCTGTTATTTATTCAGTTTTAGTTTGGTTTGCTGTATGAATGGAACCATTGGTACGTAAACTGTACAGCACAATAAAGATTATCCTTCAAACTGATTTAAATTCCAAAAGGTTTTAGGGACACACCTGCATGGTTCTTGGCAAACAATAGAAATGTGGTCTGCCATTGCCTTTCTTTAGATTTTTTTTCTGGCTTCCCAGTCAAGTCCAGTATAGTCTTTTTTTTTTTTTTCTGTTCTTTTATGCATGCACGGATGAGGTCTGATTCTATTGAGCTTTTTTGTGACCAACCAAGGTCAACTAAGTATTGCCATCCAACTGGCCAATGTAATATATGAAACTTGATGTATGATGCTTGTTAAAAAAAAGTTTATGCAATATGAAGTTGGCTGGTTTCCTTGCTTAGTAGAGTATGACCCTCGCTCAACAAATATTTTCATACCTTAGCAGTTATATAACTTATATCTGAATCTATCTGAACGTTTAACATTTTTAAAGTAAATTCAGGAAAGCATATTTGAAAGATCTGAGCACTTTGTGGAGCCAAGCTTCTTGCAACTTTCCAGGTTCTTTGATATCAGGCACACACTTTTTTAGCTAAGAAAACCAAGAGAAGCACTTACATCCATCAGTGCAGCATTAATGTAATTACTGCTTTCTCCATCTATTGTGATAAGGAAAGGCAAACATCTGTCTGGAGGAAGAACATCCATACACCGATTCTTCTCATGATTCCGGGGTAAAAGTGCTATACTGCAATCTTCTACCCGAAGGGTTGGGGTCACCATGTTTAGAGTCTACCAAAATAAGATAAAATGAATTTGACAGAAAGTTACTCAAGAATGAATGTCTTCAGCGTTACATTGATTTCCAGGGAATTAAATTAGAAGACAATTTATGCTTCATAGAATAATATAAAAAAATTAAGCTAAGCTAAATGTAGCTCTATGATAAAAGGCTATTTTGCAAATATTTGGCTTTTGAAATGTGCTTCAATCACTGACTTACCCTAAATTCTTCTTTGATCTGACTTGAATTGGTTTGAGGATCAAGTTTATTCATTTCATAATAGACTGATCTAACTTGTGAAGCTAGAACAGAGGTATCTCCACAGAGACAGGCTTCCAGTATTGCATCATGTATGAATACATACTGTTCCTAGAGAAATTAAAAAAAAATCAGACAATTGGTACAATGTTCCATAGCCAAATCTAACACACACTCATTATATCCGGCATAATTCCAACCAAATTTTTAAAACTGCTCAGTTTGTTGATTTTCTTATTACAAGTCTAAGAAAATAAGAATTAAAAATATCTGGATTTGAGGTCCAAGACTCAGAGGCAAAAACTCATATAACTCAAAATATTGGGTCCATAGCTTTTTGAGGTTGGCTATATGCTGCTACTTTGTTGAGCATAATAGCCATGCGATCAGGGTGAGGAAACTCTAAAAAGAGTTGTAGGCCACCTGATATTTAAATTTCAATATGTGACAAAACAAAAGTCATTTTCATTCTATCCAATATGAAAACTGAAAATGAGGGAACGCTTAGAATACCTCTGTTTGCACCATGTTAACTCTTCGAGATCGAAGTTCTCTGACACAGTTGAATATATCTACAACTCCTTCTCTTTCTGCCATGTCTAACATAATGTCAATGACAATAAAACATCCAGTTCGGCCAGCACCTGCACTGTAAATACAAAAGCACATTATCATTTTAACATTCAGAAAATGCTAGCAATTCCTTTCACCAAAATGGAAAGATTATGTCTTTCTTGAGTGATATGCCCAAAAAAAAAAAAAAAGATTGTGTGAGAGCCAGCCACACACTTTGATGTACTGGTGAAAGCACCAAGCTAGAAACCAGGAGAATGTCCTGCCTTAGGCACAAAGCCAGCTTGATGAACTTGGGCCAGCAAATCTAGGAAAAGATATCCACTGAAAATGAATACAATTTCAGTTTTAAACAGTGGTTTTAATCACCATAGTTAAAGAGAAGACATCCTTTTCTTGAAACAAATGTCTTTACGTTGCAAAACATTTAAATATCCAAATTATTATCTTCTGAAGTTGGATCTGCCTTGTGGAAAATCCCAATTGGCATTAATGAGGAAATTCCTTTCCACTTAAAATAAGAACAATGAAGGATTCTTCAGGATTGTAGCAGTATTAAATCTCCTCTCTAGGCCTGGAACGATCCTGTTAATTATCAGTGCTGCTTGCTTTTAAAAATCCATATGTCTAATCCTAAAATGTATTTAGCAACACATTTGTTTGGTTAACTGTATTGTATTGTTATACTGGGCATGCACCTTTTATGAATGGTGGCTCAAATAAGTAGTTGGTGTGCCAATAGCTGCGAAATGCCCTCATGGAGAAATATATTCCAGAAGCTTTTGGAAGAACACTGTAACGTTTAAATTGGGTCTAAATCTAGTAAGATTTTTCAGTCTGTTGCAGTTGAGGAAGATACATTCATAGAACGAATATTATGCATCATGATTTCCTGTTCATGAATGGTATTTCATAAACTGAAGCAACTAAAAATGTGACATACAAATTAATTGCACCCAGATAGTTCCAGCTATGCTAAATTTAAAAATGATAAAAAGTGATCAACATCTTTCTCAACTAAAGAAGCCAAAATAGGTTCTACTAACCTGCAGTGTACAACTAGTGGACCAGCATTAGGTGGGCTTTTTGATTTGACTTGCCGGACGAATCCGAGAAGACCCGTAGCATGGTATGGTACACCATGATCTGGCCAGCCAGTGAAGTGAAACTGTCTGATTTCTCTGATCTCATGGGCGCCTCTCTGTTAATGGATTGCCAGACCACAAGAGAAAAGGAAAAGCAGCAGCAGTGAGCATTTTCAAATGTCATAGAAACAACATAACTCCATTCAGCCGTCTTTTAAAATTTGGGGACTTTTGGAGTTGACCTCCCAGTTTCTACCTTATTGGCGACCAGAAAAAAGATTGGCACGATGCATGCCCTGTGGAATAACATTCCCCCAGAGATCCATGAGCCCCACCTCCACGATATTACATAAGATGTTGAAAACCTGGCTATTTTCTGAGACTACTGATAGGGTGGTGAGTGAACCTCTGTACTTTTTTTGTTTGGTATGATTTTCTTCTGTTGTATTTGGTATTTCTAGTCATAGGACTTAGAACATAGAAAAATAAGGCTGGAAGGGACCTTGGAGATCTTCTAGTCTAACCTGCCGGTCGGGTAGGAGACCCTATACCATTCCAGATAAATGGCTGTCCAAATGGCTGAACACCTCCAGTGATGAAGACCCCACAACTTCTGGAGGTAAGCCGCCCCACTGATTAATTGTTCTCACTGTCAGGAAATTTTTCCTTAGTTCTAGGTTGGTTCTGTTTTTAATGAACTTCCACCTGATTTTGTCCTATCCTCAGGTGCTTTGGAGAATAGGCCAACCTTGGTGATCAGAACTGCATGGAATATTCAAAGTGTAATCTCATTAGGGCAATATAAAGTGGTAATATCACTTCCTGTGATCTTGAAACTATACCTCTGTTGATGCAGCCTAGGAATGCTTTGGCCTTTTTGGCAGCTGCAGCACACTGCTGGCTTATACTTAAGTGGTAGTCTACTAGGACACGTAAATCGCTCTCAGAGTTACTGTTACTTTGTGCCAGGTACTATACCTATCCTGTACCTGTGCATTTAGTTTTTATTGTCTATGTGTAGGACTTTTTTTTACCACTGAATTGCATTTTGCTGGATCGAGTCCAGCGTTCAAGTCTGTCAAAAGCCTTTTGAATCTTGAATCTATCTGCTAAAATGTTAGCTATTCCCCCCCCGCTTCCGATTGTCTGCAAATCTGATGAATTCCCCTTCTACCCCTCATATAGGTCATTTATGAAGATGTTGAAGAACACCGGGCCCAAGATAAAACATACATTGGTTTCTCTGTCATTGTTTTGTTTTTTTTGATTATATAAAGCACCCAGAACCTGGAGCTGGACATTCCTTAAATCATTGCAACAAATAAATAGGGTAATCAGTCAAAGACAGTCAACTTTTAGCCATAAATAATTTTTGGAATAAGAATTTAACTTAAAGGTGTCTAAATTTTAACAAGACCATGGCTAGAAACATTGAAAAACTGTATCTTTGCTCACCTTTTCTACTGCAAATGTTCGAATCACATATTCTGCGAGAAGCTCTGTCTCTATTAAGGTAACTTTAATGTCTTTATATATCTCAGTGTCATCTGGCCAGTATTTACAGCACTTAACCTTTCAGAAATACAAAAGAAAATTAAGGCTTGTTATCTTTTGATTTGAAGCATTCCTTTAAGCTTTTTGGATTGATCTGTGCTATACAAGCTAATGAGGCATAAAACAATCATACTATCTACATAAGGAATAGACCATAATATTGAAAAAAAAATGCATCTTCTTCCAACAGTAGTTCTGAGAGTTAAAGACATGAGTACTCTTTATTTCAAAATGGGAAAAATGTGTACGTGTGTGTACACACAAAGAGGTTACTGTTAGTGCAGTCTGTCTCTTTCAACACTATTGCTACTGAAAAAAATATGGGCAGTATTGGTCCCAATTGGATTAGCAGGTGAGAAAGTTGAGCCTGTACGGCAGTGTTTCTCAACCTTGGCAGCTTTAAAAATTTCCCAGCCAGGGAGTTGAAGTCCACGCATCTTAAGTTGCCAGTGTTGAAAAACACCGCTGTAGTGTATTGAATTTTGCTGGTGTGCACTTTTGTCTTTGATCATTTCTCTTCTCAAATGTACCCGAGGATTCATGTGAATGTTGGATGGAAAGTTCTGTAACATTTCCTAAAACTCCCTTTGAAAGAATTTCACACAACTCTGCTGTCAGGAAACCAAAATCGTAAGGAATTCATGTGGAGGTTTACCGTTTCTTCTGCTGTCTGCTCTGCTTGATAATCAAGACCTTAAATCACATTCCTGATTTAAGGTTTCACAGTGGTTTTTATCTCATTGACAGTATGTTTTCCCCTGCTTTGCTCAGAAGAAGTTACACTTCCCATTACCATCAGATGCGTGCAAAACCTATTGGTGACCTAATTTATTGTGGTCTATCTCTTCCATAGGTAAATTTGATTAATATCAGTTTATTCAAGACCCATATAAAAAAGGAAACAGCTGCAACAGAAAGCTTCAGTCAGATTTCTACCTGTAGCACAATTGCTTTGAGACAGGTGCTTGCTAATTTTTATTGTGCTGGCTAAACAATATTAAAAATGGCTAAATTCCTAGTAGAACTATAATTTCCCAATGTGTGTGTGTGTGTGTATGTGTGTGTGTACATACATACTGTAATGCACTGTGGAACTCTCCCCACCAAACAATATAATGGCCAGGTTAGCTAGTGTCTAATCTGAAAAAAGTAAGGAGGCAATTATTTCTTCCTCATACAAGGGAACAATAGATTGTTTTAAGAAAAATGATCTGCAATGATCTGCTTGCTACTTTTGCAATGTCTTTACTTTTGGGTGGTAATTATGAAAGTGAATATAAGAAATCTTATACCAGAATTTAAATAAATTATTAACGCAAATGTTCATATTTCAAGGAGCATGGAAAACCTTTATGTGGTCTATGTGGAAAAGCATATTATATTAGGGACTTCATTCAAATTTCTGCACATTGTGCATGCGTGCAAAATGGAGCAGCTTTTACATAGGTATATATTACAGTCTTTGCATATTTTACATTTAAGGAAAATGGCATATGAGATCTTATGCATTCGCAGAAGCATACAGCATACACTACAGACAGATTCAGTCTACCGCATCTGAAGTCTGTAAAACTAAGATCCGTTAAATTGAAGGTTTATTGTGATAAATTAGTGGAAGTGATATATATGAAAGCTTATCAGGTTTGCTGAGGTCACAAAATTGGGTGGAACAGCTAACAAGTAAACCTTAGAGGAAATTCAAAAAGATCTTAATAGGTGGAGAAATGGGCTGAAAATAACGGAACAAAATTTAATTGGAGACAAACACAACAGTCTTTTTTACTGAAACAGACATTAAAAAATGCACAAACACAGAATGGTAAATATGTGGTTTGGTAAGAGTATTTATTAAAAAATATCTAAAGATAAAAATTCCAAATCAGGCTTAACTCTTGGTGACCACATACTGCTCTTTTTTTGGCAGCGACATGGAAGGGATTTGGCACTGATTTTTCCCAGGATGTCTTTCTACTTTCCATGGTCCTGCAGTTCACATCAGCCATCACAGTGCTCAACAGGTTCAGTCTTGCTTAGCCAAGGTTGCCTAACTGACGGTTAAAAACTTGGTTAAAAACTTCCTATCTTTCTAGTAGAGCAGTTCAACAGTAGAAACAATTATCCAAAAAGTATGTGGGTTCCTGTTTGTTACAAGCTGAGCAACCCCTCTTTTGGGGGCAGTATAATTTGGATTCCTACACTGAATTAGGTAATTTAAACAACCTTTTCCAATCCTGTGTTTCTTATGATTATAACTCCCAGGACTCCTAGTTCACTGTGGGATCTCTGCCAGTAAGACTAGACCACCTATTGTCAAGAATTAAGAGATATTATCCCCATAGCAATAGGCCCTGTAATTTAATTTTCCCCACAGAATGACAATTTTTCCCTATATATCAGAGAAAAAAGACTGCAGTTAGGGTTATCTCTAAGGTTGGCACTACATCTGCTTCCCAACAAATCCTGCTGATGTACATTTATTTGGATAATCCCAATAGTTTTGGATCAGATTGGGCATAGGAAGACAACTACCTTTGGTGTGTCTTCTAATTTATTTCTTATTTACAATGATCAGCAGTGTCTTTCCAGACTTTTAGATGAAAGTCTCTCCTGTGCTCCTCCAGGGATTAATAATGGGGTCATCTACATGCAAAGCAGATGCACTGCCACTGATTTAGTTGTTTCTCCCTCGTCATTATGTTATAGGAAGAGCTATCGCTCAGTGGTAGAATATAGAGAGACTTCTAAAAAGGTCCCTAAAACATGTCTGATGGGAGTAAGGCTTGGGAAAAGAACGTATTTAGTTACTTACTTAGGCATACAGGCCATTTTAATTGCAAACAACATTAAGTACTTGTAGTGGCATCACACAAGATTGGTGAGCAGAAAATGGCGTGGACCCCCTTCTCTCTTTGCACATATAAGGGCAGGAAGGCTTACTTAGCCAGCAGAGACAGCATGTGTAATTTAACAAAGTTTGTATTGATGAATTCCTCGGCATGCATGCTTAGAAGTTACTTAGCAAGATTTGTAAATTGCACCATTGTACTGCAAATCACTCTCACCTTTGAGCCTTTTATGTGTATTCCTACTTGTAACAATTAAGAGAAAAAATACAGCAGGAGTTCTATGATCTGACACCTCCTGGGGCGAGAAGGAGCAGCAACAGCTGCACAGTAGAAATGGTGTTTCCCATAAAAATATTCTTAGCAAAGGATCAAGTGATTCCCAAGTTAGTGACAAAATGTCATCAATCTATCCTCAGGTGTTGTTCTGCTAGAGATGCCTTATTTAATATTCCCCTGAGAGTAGGTCCACTGTCTGAGATTTAATCAAGTCTATGATATGATCTGCTATCAAGCCATCTCCAAGGGTTATTGTTTATATTATTGTCTCTTAAAAATGGTATAAAAATCTGCTGAATCTTGGTGCAGATCTAAAATCCCCAGAAAAAAAGGTGCCGTGCAATTATCTGCTGGCTTTAGCACTGAGCCACTGTTATTCTGAGAGTTCTCAGTGAGAGGAGGGATATAGTTTGTAACTCTTTCTTTGTAACTCTCTTAATATTTATTCATTAAAATCCTTTTTAGTATTTTGCCCTGGTTTAAGCTATTATCTCTGAATCCTAAAGAACTCACCGTATTGGCTCCCATCTAGCCACCAGAGGGCAACACAATGCTGTAGACAGTTACAATATAGTAAACAAGGAAGATATAAACCAGGGGACTTCAAACTTGGCCCTTTTATGACTTGTGGACTTCAACTCCCAGAATTCCTCAGCCAGGGTTGCTGGCTGAGGAATTCTGGGAGTTGACGTCCACAAGTCATAAAAGGGCCAAGTTTGAAGACCCCTGATATAAACAATAAGCAATAACATATAGCAAATAATATATACCTTCCTATTCATCATGCTGAGGAATAGCATTCTTAGTAAAAATCACTGTTGGGTGGGCACCTACCATTCTCACGGTTCCTGAAGGCTTTCTGAAAGACAAGGTGGCTTTTCTAAATACCGAACTGATTGCTGGTGCTGGGGTACTGCTAAACAGGCACATCCTTCAAGGGGAGGATTTGAGGAGTGCCCTCCCTATTAGATTTTTTTGCACAGGCAGAAGCCACTAGGAGAAGCAGTAGATATCCAAGTCCTAAGTCATTTGAGGCTTTCAAGTGACAAGCAGCACCCTGAATTGTATTGCAAGTCACTTGTAAGTAGCAGAACTCTTGGAGAAATGATATTGCTTGAATGGAGAGATGCCCTTAATTTCTTGAGTTGCTGCTGTTTTCTGGACCAATTATGGCTTCTGGATGGCCTTCAAAGGCAACTTTATGTAGAGCGAGTTGCTATAGTCCACAGGTGTCAAACTCGGTCGCGTCACGTGACGTATCGCGACGTATTGCAACCTTTTTTGCCTTTGTGGAGCTGGGGTAGTAGACGTGGCCTGTGCGTGATGCATCTGGCCTGCAAGCCGCCAGTTTGACACCATTGCTGTAGTCCAATGAAAAGTGACTAAGATGTAAATGACTGTGAGCAGGGTCTCTTCATCCGAGGAATACTTGTATTTAGTGCCAAGATTCAAGACCTTCTTAGCCATAGCTGCCATTGATCCTCAAGCAGGAACTTAAGTACCCCCAATTATGAACCACTTTAGTCCAGAGAGAATGAGTTTGTCCACAATCAAAGATGGAATATCATTGATCTCAGTTGGTTTTTGAACCCACAGCCATTCAGTTTTGTGGAAATTAATCTTCCCCATCCATTCTCATGGCCTCTGAGCACTAGGGACAGCACTTCTTCTGTCCTGTCAAACTATCTCCTGTTTGACCCAAAACTGAGATATACAAAATGGATATAATTGGCATCCTGATGACTCATAACTTGTGCTGATGAATTCTCTCCAAGCGGCTTCACGCAGAGCTCACTTTATGACAGAGGGCCTTAGGCTTGACCTCTTTGCTCCCATTCCCAAAGGTATCTTTGGAGAATGAACTACTGCAACGTGCAATCCCTGGAGGAGACCCAG